TCGGGAAAATTAGTAATTGCTTCTACTTTTTTTGGGTTAGTTCTAATGCCCTCTTGTGATACTATAAATCCTAAAAATTCTACATCCTTTCGAAAAAGTGACATTTGTCCAGTTGAATCTTCATATTTGCTTCCTCTAAAGTTTTGAAAACTTTTCGAAGATTCTGTAAGTGTTCTTCTTCAGATTTTCCGAATATTATGATATCATCTATATACACATAGCAAATCTTGCCTATATGTTCATGTAGGATATCGTCAAGTGTACGCTGGAAAATGGCGGGCGCATTTTTCAGCCCAAATGGTAGCCGAGTAAACTCGAGCTTCCCATTATTCACCGAAAAGACAATTTTTTTTATGTCTGACGGCTTTGGTGGGATCTGGTGGAACCCACTTTTGAGGTCTAGCGTGGTAAAAAACGAATTGTCGCCAAAATGCGATAAAATACCCTCTATTTCGGGTATCGGATATTTATCCGMTATAGTTAAAACTATTTAATTTTCTATAATCGAACACCAACCTATACTCTTTATTTCCACTGGAATCGGGTTTTTTTGCCCCGATCCACAAAAGGGAATTAGAGGGGGATCTGGATGCTCTTATAATGCCATCGTTTAGTAGTTTTTCCACCTGTTTCTCTACTTCGCCTCTAAGCGTTGCTGGATATGGATAAAACTTACTATATATTGGAGAATCGGATGACGTTCTGATCTCTCCCACTACTTTGGTAATATAAGTTAACCGTTCATCCGGTTCTGAAAAGAAGTTAGGATGATCTGTAATCAATTTCTGTAGAGCTATTTTTTTGATGGGGAGTAATGTTGTCATCGTGTATTTTGATAGAATTTACTGCATCTGTTTTTAATTCTTTAAATAATATTTTMAAATTATTTTTAATTGTCAAGGTTCCCTCTCTAATGTTAATTACAACATCTAGCTGCCGAAAGCTATCATAGCCCAAAATGCCATGAAAATTTCTTAAAGGGGGTAGTAAAAATAATTTCAAAGTTTCTGTTTGATTAAAAAGCTGTAAAAATGTGTGGTGTTTTATTTCTATATCACCAGCAATAGTTTTCGCTAAAAATATACATATATTTGTTTTCTAGTACTTTTTTTTGCTAAATTGGGTTGAATAAAATTCTGGCTGGAGCCAGTGTCAATTAMAAATTTGAATACTTCACCGCTCTACGTGCGGCATTCAAAGTAAGGCAACGAAGAGATTTTTAACCTAAAAAATGAATATCGCTATATTCGTATTATTGTCCTTCATCCTGTATATTGTCGGCCGCCACACCCAAATAATCATTCAGATTATCTTCTGAGCCAGTGTTCGAGGTAGCGCTTGGAGTATTACTTATAYGAAAATTGGGTTGTGCCYTTTGTGGCCTGAGATTTCTTTCAGAAGTGGTCTGTGGTGGCCTTTTGCCGAGTAATTGATTATTTTGTGGCCGGTTCATATAGTTAAATCGGAGCCAGCGCAAAGTTTCATCTATCTCCATAGGCACCGGCGGTTTTGGGGGGGGCATAGGCGGTTGGTTAAAGTGTGTTTGTGCATTTAAGTTCCGATYAAATCTTTGATTTGGAAAGTTATGTGAAATAAGTTGTGGTTGGTAAATTGTGTTTGTGCATTTAAATTCTGACTAGGTCTTTGATTGGGAAGATTTTGTGAAATAATTTGTGGTTGTGGCTGTGGTAAGTAAGCAATTTCGGGGAAGAAATTTTGTTGGTTTACTTGCCTCCAAAAATTTCTTGAAAGTAAAGGTGGTGCGGTGTTTTGCTGCATCCCTCTACTATCCATATTGATGTTGTGTGCGTACCGTGTGCGGAAACCCTGATTTTCCAACTTCAAGCACAAGTGTAATGCTTGGGGCAGTTCCTTCATGCCCAATAGTTTAGGCAAGTCGCCGTTGAGGCCCCGCACAAACGTACCTAGCGCCTTGTTTCTGTGTGTGTGAGTAAGAAGATTACGAGCCTCGCTACCCACCTCCATACAGCCTAGCTTATTAAGTATTAAAGATAAATTGAAATAAACAGCCTGGTAAAATTCTTCAATTGACCTATTTCCCTGAACCAAAGAAGTCATTTGGTATTCTAGGGTGGATACATCACGCTTGTCGGCGTAACATAAAGTTAGGCACTTACAAATAKCACCCCAGTCTAAGGGTGTATTGTTTGACTCAAGGGCAGCATCCGCGTTGCCGACGATTTTATTTCTTATCACGCTAAGGATYCCGTAGAATTTAGGTGTGCCCTTACTCGCTTCGTAAATATTTAATATTCGATTTACACTTTTTTTCCACGAATTRAATTCGGCGGGATTTCCCGAGAATTCGCGTAAACATTTTACCACATCAGGTATCTTGTCTAAATCTGATAAGTTGCTTGCATGTTCTACATTGATGGTTTGGTCGCAAGTGTTTGCTAAGCCCGCATTCGGGTTAAGGGTTGCCCTAACTATGCTGGGCCCCTGCCTGTTTACCACGTCTAAAGCTCCTTCCTATTATGTTTACGAGGTCATCTTCGTTTATTGTAACGTTASCTGATCCTGAATTTCCTGCAGGATCATTCGCCCTGATTACTGGTGGACGAAACAGATTATTTGGGTACGACATTGTTTATTTTGTTGTGTCTGTTAAAGAGTTCCTTTTATATTTTTTCTCATTTCCCACTACTCTTTACGTATCGGTTTCTTTTCTACTTCAATAACGTTTCAGTTTTTGCACTTACAAATTAATGCTTAAAGGTTTTATTTCAATTTTAGTTTGGTAAAAAAAAAAAATCACAATCTGGGTTTCACTTAATGCTCTTAATTTGTAAGTATCACTTAACTTACAATACAATTACGACTTTCATTCTTTGCCTCTTGATATTGTTGGTTGTTAATGTTGATAGGTGCTGATGAGTTGACTTGCGTACAACGCGTCCTTTTTGCTCTGCTACTAAGGGGCCTGATCTCACACTASCACAGTTGTTTTTATTATCACTCCACGTTCTCCGAAGAAGGATTCTTAACGCCTTTTGTTTTCCTTCGCGACGTAGGAGCTTATTTTATCTCGGGCGCCAGTCAGTTGGTATTCTTGTCGAAAGTAAAAATTATCTTCTTTTTCTGGTCTTACTTAACAAGTTTTATAATTCTTATGGTAACTTAATGCGCTTGCAGTTCTGCTGACGTCGGTTCCCACGTTCCGATGGATTTCCAGAGAATCACGCCACACTGCGCTAGACGTATCGTCAGTAGTTTTGCGAGTAGAACGGATGCGCGTGTCTTTTGATTGCTTTAAATGTTATTGTTGCTAACTTATAACTTTGGGGACATATTCTTAGATAATTTTTAAAAAGAATTGATTGTTTGAAACTTCTAAAGCAGGCTACCCCATYAATAAAGATTTGGTATCAGAATTTATTGATCTTATAAAAAATGTATTAGCAATTTGGCAAACGAAAAGAGATAAATATAAAAATAAATTGAGAAAAATAAAAGTTGGAATAACTTATTAACGAAATACAAAGAAAAAGATAAAAGTTCTACATTAGAAATAAATGCCAAGAAATGTTCCGAACGCAAAATGGATTTGTGTGTCGTGTATGGGCGAAACGAATTCACACAGATCCAACGCATATAGGTGTATGTGAGTTATTGCAGAATTGCAAAACCGTCTCAAGTCAAAAACATTGTCTCTAACAATTTTAGAGATTTGTTGGTGTATTAGACACTACAAAGAGAAAAAGTGTAAAGAAACAAATGAATTAAACTCAATGAATCTAAACTCAACTGGAAATCGACTTCCCTAATAAAAAAAAGTCCATTATTTCCCTTATATGCATAATATTAAAAAATAACGGCTTTTATAACAAAATACTATGTAACAATGTTTTCTTTTAATAAATAGTAAGCGATGTGAAGTCTTGAATGGCAAAAACATCTGTTTTATCATCTGTCCAACGGCAGTGAGAACGGGTCAGATTAGTGAAGAGATTAAATGTAATCTAATCACTTAAAATTTTTAGTAGGAACATAGTATTAGGAATAAAATTGGAAAATCTGGGATAAGTGCGAAATTCAAATAAATATTGTATTTTTCGTTGGAAAGTAGTTTATCACTTAATAGTTGATTGTATGTCTTATGTATAAGTACATACCACATATGCACACATACATTTCCATGTGACTGGTTGCGGATCACTGTTTCCATTAGAGTGTGAACGTCAAAACGATTTTCGTTTTTGTTTGCGCCTTTTTATACAATATCCATTATTATATTATACTTATTATTAAATTTATTGTACATATTTTTATAATACTTCTTTACCTTTGAGCACTATTTTGCAGTTTCAAAGCACAACTGAGTAAAATTTATAAATGTACTATTGTAATATACATATATATATTATATAATTTTAATATGAAAATATGAAGGAATAATCTCTAACTTGATATTAGAGTTTACCCCGGTAGTCTACCGTTTAGGATGATTTATAACATTTTTACAAAAGAGGAAATAATAAAAACCAAAATATCATTCCTTGGTTAAGTTTGAAATTTGAAACATATATGTTTGTATATTTACATATGTACATATGTATATTTTAAAGAGTGAATCATTAGAGTATTTATAAATTTTATTTTCTATCCTTATGTTAGGAATTATATTTTATCAAAAGGCTTGTATACATCCGAATATGTTAGGAATGTTTGCCAAATACCAGTTTCATCTACAATAAAAGCCACACCGTAAATATTATAAACAAAGACTCAGGTTAGAAAGGTATTAGTATTGGTACTGCCCAATGCACAAATTGAGGCAAATTTTAAGTATGGAACAAGTTTAACGATATTCGTTCACAGTCGTTTTTAATTCGTTCAGAAGCAACAATTTGACTTGGAATTGAGTGTCACGCATACATTGTGTATGCCAAAAAAGCAAAGAAAAAATTTATAAAAAAGCATAAAAACCATAAAATCTTAAAAAAAAAAATGAACACCAAAAATTAGTATAAAAAACATTTTTATTTAGATAACATTTAAAAACTTAACTTGCCAAAGAGATAAACTGAATAAATTGAATATTACAAAAATTGGCATTGGGAAGGATTAACACTCCGAATCGTTGCATATGAATCAAAATCTTAGTGAAAATACCAATATGAGTGGCAGACTCAAGAATTCAACTCCTCAAACCCCCAACATATGTCCACAAGTTCGTAGCCGACCACGTAACCGCCAATTTCGTTTAATGTCGACATCAGCAAATGAAGAGGAACTATCTCCCAATTCACCGCCCACTATTCTTAACATAGTGGTACCAAGTCATATAGGCAGTGAAACGTCGGTTGTAAGTGCTGGTTTAAATGCAGCATCGTTAAATGTGGTCACAAAGTCATCGGCACCATTTGTGCCGTCGCCAATGTTAGATTCGAACGAGTACTATGAGAATTCAAAATATCGGCATTATGATTCGTGGCTCGAAGAGTCTAATTCAACCATTAAATCGTCCACAAAGAAGTGCCAGTCAAAATCTACCAAAACTGAAAAATCGTTTCCTAAGGAGGACCACTTTGAATCTCAACAATCAGCTACAATCGGTCATCCTTTTAAACCCCTACAATATGACGTAAGCTATTTGAAGCAGCGGCTTGTCAAGTACCGTGCCGAAACAGAAAGTTGTGGAGATGCAGCTAAATTGAATGGGCAATTAAATGAAATATTTATTCGACGCCTGGTAGATATTGAAAATATGGCGAAAGGTGATACGGATGTAAGTAAGSGAATTAATGTTTCAAGTTCATACTTTAATTTATGTATGTATTTGAAAGTATTACCTAGTGAATCGATTTATTTTATTTGGCTTCAATGATTCCATACAATTATCTACACAAAATACAGCTGTAATAACTCAAATTAATATGTATGTGATTTTGTATAATTATTTCTTTCGCCAAGCCAGTTATGAGGTGCACTAGTAGTAGTATGGAAATGGGATAGTTGTTTGGCTAGTTGGGCCAGAGTTTTTCAGTAGTTGGACAGTCATTCATTATTCACACATATACATATATATACTCACAAGAATTACCTAGATTTTGGTTTTAATCATGATATATATGAATACCAATACCTTAATAGGTGGATAATTTTTTTATTTTTCGAATATTAGGGCGTAAGTAATTAACAATACTTACGAGTACGCAAACTAGTTATATCAATTCTAGTCAACAGTGTTCATGGTTTGGATTCTGTTTCGTGGTACAAAAATTATAATATACGAACGGAGAATAAAGAATACTGAAAATACGCACGACATTTCTGCAAGGGAATGTCCATTCCAAGCAGATATTAAATTAATTTTTCGATTAAAAAAATYATTTTTTAATAGTTTTTGCCTAAAGAAAACATACGTTAATGTTAAAAGGTAAAAAAAATCTAAACTTACCTTCCAGGTGATAAATTATGTTGACCGCCAAAAGGCGGACCTGCCTGGTAACGTAATAAAAAACTTTTAGTAGAGGATGATTTTACTTAAAATTTTATTCAGTTCTTTTTATTGTTTTGATGATAAATTTGAAAGCATTTGTTATTGTTTGAGAGGCAGACAGAAAACGAATGTCATCGGGCTGGATCATACCATTTCTTAAATTTTTGTATTTGTGGACTTTGGCTCTGAGGTCTACCGACAGCTCTTTTGGCGTTAGTCTCCTCATAACGACATAGTACAGCAGCCACTTCAATACGAAAATTTGGTAATTTTTTATGATAAATATCTTTACAGTTAGTTCCATGAATACGGTGAGAAAGGAGGTATGAATTTACTATCGACATATCAATTAAGTGATAAAATAAACGCAAAGTCCATTTTTTGGTCTTAACTCTGATGTGATAGCGACCAAGTAAATTGTCCATCAAATCAACACCACCCATAAGGCGGTTATATACTTTAATTATATTAGGACAGTCTACATCGACGTAGGATTTATTTTTCCGATCATAACGGCATATTTTTAAGGGTTGTGAATTGCTGTTTAGTGTTTTAAATGGCTTAATTCCAGCATACGTGGATACCAGTCGTACATATTTGGTATCCTTCCATTGAACCCATTCTACTTTCTTTGTCAGCTTTCAGTTGGGTATTCTGTTAGATCGGACGGCTCCTAACGCATAAATTCCTCTGCTTCGTAAATAAACAAGAGGTGGCAGAGATTTATAAAAATTATCAAAGTACAATATGTGGTTTTTGAAAACTGGAATTGTACTTGACAACCTTATGACTACATTGGCTGTTGATCCTAAATAAGGAGTATTAGGTATTACTTTATTATCGCCACCTCCTTTGTATACTTCAAATCTGTACGAAAAGCCATTCGAGTAACAAAGAACAAAAAGTTTCATGCCATATTTAGGGGGTTTTGCGGGCATATATTGTCGAAATTTTGTCAACATTTTTGTTGAACACATTTATTCATCAATGCACAACCGAGCCGTTATTGGCACAGATCAATTTGCATATTGAGTCTATCAATAAGTGGGCGAATTTTATACAGTTCATCAAATCCTGCTTCCCGTGTTTTTTTTTCATTTTTTTGGTATCATTGAAGTGAAGATATTTTCTGATTGAAAAGAACTGTTTAGAAGTCATTGCGTTTCTAACTGGCTCGAAAGAATGTTTGGACCAGTAACTCTCGACACTGGGATATCGGTACACAGACATAAAAATGAACTTTCCGATATATTTTTTTAAACCACACGATGCCAAAGTAAAGTTTGTAGAAAAGCTTGCTGTTTTGCATACAAATTGCTCTGATACACAATTTCATTTTGCAAGTCATCGTTGAAAAAATAATTAAAGCAACGGAATGGTGTGGTTAATTCTTTGAAATGTTACGGCAGTTCCTTGTCTCCTTGAAAAACTACATCATTTTTTTCAAGTTCAAGAAATTGTCTTTCCATACAATTTTTCTGAACTCTGGATTTTGGAGGGAAATATCTTTCATATTTCCGCTAAACCCCCTCTCATTGGATACTACTTCACTTTCACCAGCTTCAGTTTCTGGTAGAGGGGATCGTGCCCTTTTTGTTTTTGTTTTTGTTTTCACAGGTTTTGGTGGTAAAGACTCGTCAGACTGCTCCACATTATTATGCACTTCTGCCAGATGTTTTTCTGAGTCTCTAAAGATATTTTCAAAATCGATGTTATCTGCACTCTTCTTGAAATGTAGCAAAGTCTTCGTTTGGTAATTGAAAGTCTGGGTCTTCCAAATCATCATTATCGTCGTCGAAATCGTCTTCTGAATCTGCGCCATCGAATGGGTAAATGAGCCATAAGTTCTTCAATTTCCTCATCAATTAATTTTGAGAAATTAAATTTTTTTCTTTGTGAAAACTGCTGATTGTTTCCCAGAATGTTTAAGACCCATAAATGTTTAAAGAAAAATGAAAAGATAAAGAAAATGGACTAGAGTCCGTGTATGCAAAATTTGCTTTTAACCAGCAGATCCGCCTTTAGACGGTGTTCAATTTTCACCGGATACAAACAAAGTTTTGCTAAAAACTTAACAATAAAGCACAAAACATAAAAGAATATATATTTACCTATATAAGAAAATATATATTTACCTATATAAGAAAATTTTTTTTTACGCAAATCATGAATTTTAACGAATTTATACTATTTTAAAAACTCCACTTGATACACAAATAATTATTTAACACACTTTGTCAAAAAATTGACTTTAGCACTCAACGATTTGCAATGAAATGACGAATGCTTACTGTAATTTGTTTCAATAAGAGAATTTGGTTGTTGTTTGCTGATATTTACCGTTAGAACAGAGGTTTAATATATAGGAGCTGCATAGCAACATATTAATTATACACCGTCTAAAGGCAGCCTCGCCGGTTACAGGACCAATTTAGATTTTTATTTGGTTTATTTTAAGTAATGTTATGATACCACATGGACGGAGAAAGCGGAAAAGTTACTTAATTAGAATTACTTTCATAAATCTGATTATTGCCATTAAGGAGGAAAACTTATCAAAAAATTGTATTAACTTTTATTTTCAAAAGATCAAGCTTGTAACTTATCAGGAATGGGTGGATATGCTAATGCAAATCAACGAAGTAATCATTGGTAATATGATAGATCTAGAGAGTGAGGTYGCAGAGAAGCTAGAATGCATGAAACGTCGAATACAATCCAGCTGTAGTCAAATCAGCAATAATGAACAAAAATATCGTCAGGACATTTGTTCTCTAATGAAACTCATAAAAAACGCATATCATCACGATAACTGGGATATTGAGGGGCTTGAATTTCAGACTGTAAATCTACCTGAAATTTTGGGCACGAGAAATACCACTGTAAGATGTACATATATATAAAAACAATTTCATAACAATGTAATTCTATCAATTATAGTGTTCGGAACAATCAAATATTATGACGGTGAGTGCATATTTGTATTTCAATATTATATTTTTAAGTTAAATGGTTGAATTTACGAGACATACCATAGGTTTTCGTCCGATGGCTAATATTTGTGAATTTCGTCATTATCCACTAACACAACATTTCAAATCTACATATATAGTACAAATTTCTTCTAAGTAATAAAAAAATAGCGTCAAACATGTGTATGTACGTATGTGTATTATGTATGTTCAATCATACATACATATGTATGTATATTGTGACAAAAAAGTACCCGAAAATTGTAAATAAAACGGATTTTCCCACTCCTAGAAACACTTTTTATGAGCACTTTTGGTATGRTCTTTAGCTCYTTCGGCGAATTTTGTTTTATCTCTTCGCTCAATTGGAAACGGTTTCTACGGAGTGACAATTTCCATTTGGAGAACGAGAAAAAATCAAACGGTGCCAAACMTGTTGAACGCGGTGGTTTATCAATGGTATTCATTGTGTTTTTGGCTTTAGATTCGGTCACAATCGTACTATTTTTAAAAAAATTCAGCTTTATCCGGACGAGTCGAGCAAGAACGCGTTTCGTATCCAAAATATCCACCAAAATTACTAGYGAGAGATGTCGAGCTCTCTTGCCATCGCCTAACACTTGTCTAACGATTACCATATCCTTCACTTTTTTAATATATTGTGAGCTCGTGTTGTTGATAAAGCTGAATTACCGTAAATATTCTCTACAATGACGCACACGAAATTTGGTTAGAAATACAAAATTTGAGATAAGTTCTTTGTCCGATATTTTTATCTATTGTAAATATCTCAACGCACTACTAAGGTGTACCGACTGGTAGATAGATCGCGGTCATATTTGGCATAGATTAAGGACAGTCCCGGAGAATTTATAATAGTTTCCGGGTGCTTTTTTGTCCCAATGTATATTAAATAAATGAAGTCATTTTATTAATTTGTCATTTTATTTAAATAAAACAAAAAAGATAAAATATTTAAAGAAAATTTGGCTAAATGCCTCCCTAAAACTTTTGTCCTAGGCAATTGCTTAAGCTGCCTATTGCAGGGCCGGCCCGCAGATACGGCATACCTAATGTTACGTTATTTGACGGGGTTTATAACGTAATGCCGATAAGCAGCTGATTTAGACACTACAAAAAAATGTAAACTAAGAAATAAATTTAATACTTATGAAGTCACCTGACAATCGACTTCCTAAATTACAAAATGCATCCATTATTTTCATTAAATAGAAAATATATAAAATAAGGCGACTTTTTTTTTAACAAAATACCATATATCAATGGTTTCTGATAATTAATATTAGGCGATGTGAATTTTTAATGTTAAAAACAGCAGTATAAAATTCTACAACTACAGTAAGGTAAAATGTTAATGTTAACTAATTACTTAAAATTTTTGGTCGGAACATGCTGTAAGCATTGTGCAGCCATRCTTAACTGTGTGGCAGGTTCACCCAAACTCTGCGCGACCAGAACATAGCGTGGCATTCTTATTGGCCCTTTTCGAAAGATTGCCCACCACGAATTACTAACGSTGTAAGAGAAAGATCTGTGAGCTTGTTCTTATGCGCACTACATCATGCGCGGCAAATTGCAAGGTAATACTAATTAGATGCAAGCCAACATAAGTAATTGGTTTTTCCTACCTAAAACAGAAATATTTTCGGTATATAATGGTCGTTCAAGTCCTTCCAACTGCAAAGCGTCAAAACTTATCAGGTTCGGTCAACTGTCAAAGTTTGGTAGGTGAGCGGTTTTCACATTTCTAGTGACAGGAGAGTTGACTAGAATTATGCGAGGGCACACTGCGCAACTGTACAGATAAGATAAAATTTCTGGCTGTCGACTATAATCGACGCTCAGTTGAGTTGGGTTATCTGTGGCCGTTGCTTATAGTCAACGCTCCTACCGAAGTGGTTAATAAACAAAGCTTTTTTTTTTGACACACCATGTTGTACCGGCAATGCATTTATAATACCACAATAGAAAATCGCATTGACTGATGCATCGCTAGGCATTGCGGCTACTTTAACAGATGATGGGCGAACGACGGACAGCTATTCCGATATTTTTTATGTTACTGTTTCATCTGGTTTTTTATTTATTTATTTTTTTTATATAGTAGGGGGAAGTATCGAAAGCCGAAGTGCGGAACTTCAATCCGCTAAACCTAACCTACTCCCAGCTCAGGACTCTCCCACGTAACCATCGGTTAAGTATTACTTCGTGGGAGGGGCAATATATTTCAGTCTCCTTTATTGCGCGGACTGACGGACGCCTATAGTCTGTTGAAAAGATCTCAGTTTGGTCATTATGAACGCTGACGCTTCGCTGACAGCTTTCCATTTATCAGTCGGTCTGACACATGAGTGTCGTTAAATTATCGACCGTAAAACTGCCACCGAGTGAGGTTTTTAGCTTTTCCCTTGTATTCGAAAACCGAGGGCAATAAAATAATACATGTTCACAGTCAAATTGCAAGGTAATACTACTTCTATATACTCTGTACACGTCGGACAGTTCGGACTAATGTCATTGTGGAATCTGAAGAGGTAGCTTCTAAAGCATCTGTAGGAGCCCAATAATAAATTAATGTCCATTTAACACATTGATTTTTATTTAATTTTAAGTTTATATTAATTTTCTTTTTAACTTAACACTCCTAATGCTTTACTAATAATGTCTTAATATTATGCTAGCACCGTTTTTTATCCCTTCTTGTGCTTAATTTTCTCATTAGCTATGTAAGCTTGTGCGTATGTGCTTATGAGGGCGTAGGTATTTTTTTCCGGAGGGGGAATCTTTAAAGATATCGTCATTTTTCCGGACGATATGCACGATTCGTATTGGCCGTACGCCCAAGCAGGACTTGCAACGCAATACGCCTACGTACTAAACCCTGAACTCCGTCGTCTTTGCTTGTATTTGGCTCACGGAACTGCCGTTAGGCATTACATTACCAAGCTTAGCCATTCTTCTCTTCATTCACACTTTTCGCTCTAATTCCGATTAATCCTTCTGTTTTTGCTGCGTTGCCACTCAGGGCGTAGGTATGAAATACGTATGTACAAATCATAGAAAACCGTAACGTATGTATGTGGATGTAAGAATTGATGTGCATATGCATAAGCGGCGCTCTCACAAAGGTGAATAGCCTAATTCATGGTCACGGGCATCCGATTTTGCACAGTGACATGCTTCTGACCAAACATGCTCCCCCCTCTGAAATGCTTGCATTTCAATCCGAAATGGGTAATGGTGCAATTTTATGGACTGCTCTACTTATAATCTCTTTCGTAGTTTTGATGTCCACAACCCTGGCTTTGCCGTCTGAACCAGAGACAATGTTGATAACTCTCCCAAGTGACCAATGCTGTGGGGGCAAGTTGGATTCATGAATGATGACCATTTGACCAATTTCGATACTGGCTTCCGGTTTCAACCACTTCGAGCATTGTAGTAGGCTAAGAATATAGTAGGGGGACCTTATGTCCCAAAAACGCTGCTTCAAATACGTCACCTGCTGCCATTGCGTTAACGAAGATACTGCGTTCATATTGATGGTTTTATCTGGATATCATTGATTTTACTGCCGCCTCCCAAAAACCTCCAAAATGTGGAGCACGTGGCGGAATAAAACAAAGCTCAAAACCAGTGCTGGTGCAATGACTAGTGATGTCATCAGTAGCCGCTTGATTGAAGAACTGTTGTTGAAGATCCTTCAATTTGGCTTGAGCACCAACGAAATTTGTGCCGTTGTCACAGTAAATGCGTTGAGGTATGCCGCGTCTTCCTACTAAACGTTTTAGACAAAGTATAAAATTATTAGTAGAGAGGTCGGATACTAATTTTGCATGTATGGCTTTGGATGCGAAGCATACAAAAATTGCTATGTATATTTTATATGTAGCTCTTCCACAAAGACGATAAGTTTTACTGAAAGGGCCGCAAAAGTCAACGCCACTAATTAGAAATAGGCGTTGAATTTGGAAGCGATTGGCAGGAAGATCCGCCATAATTTGACCCACTAATTTCGGTTTATAATGGAAACAGAGAAAAACATTTATAACCCAGACTCGCTCACACAACATATTTATTAAAACCTTTGGACCAGCATGTAAATGTTTCCGATGGAGGTATTTTATGTACAAAGATGTAAATCGATGATTTTTTGGAAGAAGTGCGTGAAATTTTGCATAAAAAGAAATTGGTGCTTTTCACAAACGGCCACCGACTCTGAGGACCGAAACTGTCACTCCGTTAAGATTCATTTCATGTAGAAAAAGAGTCAGCTTCTGTACGAACGATTTAACTTCTTGTTGTTTCTGTAGTCTTTCAATTTCTTCAGCGAATTCGATCTATTGAGTAGCTACGACAATTCGCCACCATTAAAGGTGGTGGAGTTCCTCTAACGGTAGATGAAGTATCATTGCTGGCGTTAGTTTATTGTTAACAGCAACTTTGTTGAAAACATGAAATATATATGCAGCGACGCGAAGTAATCAGTGGTACGATGAACAGCGGTTGATTATGGTATTGATGATGTTTCCCGCGTTGATGTTTTTTTTTAAACTTGAGGTTGATTCCCTTCCGTCGTTATAAATCTTGGATTTTAGTGCTATATTCCTTCTTGCTTATAGGCCATTCCGAAGAATTTTTTATTAGAAACTCTGGTTCAGAGAACCAAATCGTACTTACAAGATCCTGAGCGCTACAGCCGCGTGAAACGATGTCT